AGATATATGAAAACTTCAATAATTCTTTGAATTCTTTAAAATATCTGAAGTTTTATAATTTGTTTTATGCAATGGCATAATATTCATACCAAGTTTCGTGAAAATCGGTTAACTATTTCACAAGTTGAAAATGGGGGAAAACAAACACATTCTCTACGCAACATAATTATCTCGAAAAATTATTCCTCCTCCCTTTAAGGGGGCGAGTGTGGTCTAATAAAAATACAGAAGAATTGTTTAAGATATTCGTCACAAAAACTTCAAGTAATATTCGATCTGCTAAGCGATATTTGTCAGTTTTATTTATCATAAAGTTGGTACCACTTGCTTCATGTCCAAAAGTCGGCAAGCATAGTCTACAAGATCAGATGACCATTCGGTCTATCCCAGAAAACTTACAATTAAATACATCAAATTTATTTAAATATGAATGCAAATGTAATAATATATATATATATATACTGAAGGCTATGTTCATGTTAATGTTATGCGTTTACATCACTTTTTAATACATCACGACAAATACTGGAAAGCTAATTGTGTGAAAAGAGATCATTCGAACGGCGGATATTATCAACTACAATCACAGTCCTTATCAGGTCACTGCTGTTCATTATCTAACCAACACTCACCCTAATGACAGTCCTTGCCAATTGTGAATTGGGTTTACTTCACTCCTTAAGGCATAACACATAGGGAAATTGTGCCTCTATAGTAGGGTTACGTAGTGTGTTGTGCTATACGTCTTCACAAATCACAGTAGCTGGGTCATGAAATATGTGTTTCATAAACACTGCACCATCCAACTCAGAGTATTATGGTACTGTAGAATGAAAATTAAATATGTCCCTAAACGATTTTGTTATTTCGCACAGGAGGTAAGTGTCGGGCAGCAATGCCGTGAAGTATTTCGTGGTTCTAAAACTTGATGAATTGCAATCATGTGATCTGTAAAGTCGCTATGACGGGAGAATTTACCCTTTTTTGTTTTTACGCTGTATGAACGCTCCATTGCGGCGGGATACGGTACTAAAAATACTCTAGTTTCCTACCGTCCACCGCTAGGGTGTTCTGTTGAATGCCTGTGTGTGTGTGGCGGTGGAGGGGGGGGGGGGTTCGGAGCCACATATAGTACGTCGAGTACAAAGTTGAATGACCTGGATTTCCATCCAACCGCACTCGTCCATCCGCATTCACAGATCTTAGCTCCCAAATCCTCCACTAACTACCACATTTTTTTCTGCACACACCAAATTGTCACTTTCCGCTGTACGTTATACGTGTTTAAATATTTACAATTTTCTTGTTCTTACCTTTTTTGAAAAGAAACAACCTGCTCCACCCCGGTCACACATTGCTCAAACTGCACCTTCGTCCCCCCTTGGTGTAGTATGGCGGGAACCCGAAGCCGGCAAATCCAGAGGGGCGTGGGGGACACAGTACTGGAGTACATCCCTTCACCCCTCCTTAACACACTCACTCACTATACCACTGCCAAGCTCATAGCTAGCCGGCACCCTGCCCTACCCCTAGATATATCGACCTTCCCTCCTCGACAGACCCGCCCGGAAATGACGTCACACACACACACCGATTGATCCAACCAACCAAGCAGCCAGCCAAAAAGGGGTGGTAAAGGGGAAATTTGGGGAGAGGAAAATTATTAGCGGAGGGAGAAACAGGGGAAAGGAAAGATTGGTTTTGGGGAATGAGGAAATACTTGGGCTTAGATCAGGTAGATCAAGGTGGATATATATATATAACAAATACACAGCTGCATACCGTCTCTGCCTATGGAAGATTATATGTTCAGGACAAGGACGAGGCCAAGCTCTCGAAAGTCTGACACATTCCGACGAGAAAAAGCATCATCTTCAAAAGTGTGGTGGAGTATAAAGTGAAACACAAGGACAGCACAACAATTACGAGCTGGAAACAGGGTCTTCTTATTTCAGTGTAACACTTGCACATGTCGAAACATGGTGCACACTAAATACTGCGGCAGACGAGTTGGAGAGGATCGTATGAAAAACCTGGATAATTCCGATACATTTAGTTTTGGTTCGTTACTACCGGTCTAGAAAACTGAGATTAACGGCCATGGCGATCCGTTCCGCTGACCACGAGACACCCTCTATCTGCAAAAGTTGGACCTAGCTTCGCCGACAAACGGCGGTCGCTCGGTCGGTATAGTTCGCTTGCGGACTAGAGGCCACGGAGTTTGTTTCTTTGTTCGTCACTACAGAAATCTCGCTTTCAATGAAAATGCACCAGCACAACACTACGTTAAATATTATAAGATCTATTCGTGATTCACTAAAAAAAAAGTTATTTGGACTCGAACAGGAGAGTGGTCGTAAACCGTGATTTATAAAGAGAATCGGGAAAGTTGGGCACTGTCCCGCCATTTTTCTGACAACTTCTGAAAGCTGGAGTACCAGAGTACCAAAGACCGGCCGTACATCAAACTGCATCCAAACCAGAGCTTGAAATGCTTGGACTAGGCATCGTCGTCACATATTTGAACTCCAAGCCTATAGAAAAAGTGTTAGGAACATGTACTCCAACTATATTTCAAATAAAATTATTAATTTTTTTTTTATATTCTCTGTGTCCTTTGATGGAACTGTAAATTTCGGTTTTGATGAGTGTTAATAGTGAACGCTCGTCCACTAAGCTTCATATTTCCATAGGCTTTTGATACAAATAACAGCGGTGCTTCTCAAGAACGAAAACCCCGCGGCTGGCGAAAGATTTCTGTACTTTACTTTACAAATGATTTGGCACTTTTAATTTGTATAGTTGTTTATTTATTGCAGATACAAACGTAGAAGGTGTATGCTGTTAATTTTGCGGTGCTATCAGTATTCACGGAGTTTAGGTGTAGGATGAATGATGTATGAGAAATTAGAAAGAACTTGGAAGAAGGCAGCCTTTGCCTAACCCAGGTACCATCACGGAATTTCTCTGAAGGGACGAATTGAAACCAAGAGAAATTTCAGCCATGATATCGGTTTTCCAGCCGAGATTCGAAACAAGGATTAACGCCAAAAAATACCTGCTCAATCTAACTGAAACTGAAGAACAATAAGCACTTCGCTGATTTAATATCGAAATTACATCATTAGCATTATACGTATTTTCTTTGTTAATATTGTTCCCAGGTACAGCAGTATAATTATTTATAGGGGAATCCCAAGATACCTACAAATATTTCCACCACCGTTTTCCTTCTTAAAGCTTGGCTTAGTTATAGATGGAAATTACTACACAACGAATACCAGACTATCATCAATACAGCTCACACCAGATTATCATAATTGCAGAGTGTGCCGAAAGTTTTAAAATTACTGAATTTGTATTACATTAACATAGACACCACACATCCATTTATCAGCTACTAAGGTTAAGACGGGCGCCCATCGTTTTACGAATGTTCGGTTTAGGAACATTCGATTCTACGAAACATGTTAATTTATGAAGAAAGCAGTCTTCTGGGATTTGGCCCCGTGTATATGTGGTGTTAACTGGCCTGCTTTTACCGGTTCTAACGGTCTCTTCGCTTGCAGATTTCTTATATTTTTCCTTCTACCCTGAAGATGGAGGCGATACGTTCCTCCGAAACGTCGGTTAACATCACATATACACGGGGCCAAATCCCAGAAGACTGCTTTCTTCATAGTCACCGCCGTGAAAGCCTCAAATCTTACATGTTAGTTTGTTCTTCCTTTTCATATAAAAATTAATTATCGCAACAGTGAACAACTTACATCAGTAGGTCCGGCGACCTTTACGCATAAAGTAATGGCAATTTAATTTTCTAATGCACGCAATGAATACCGATATTAAGAATTTATAATTTAAGCTTACGCAGGATGGTATATGAAAATATGTTTGTGGTCTTACCGATTTGCCTTCAAAGAATGTGATGTAGTACGGTTCTGCCTACTCATTTCTTTGAGATGCAGTGACCAATTAAGAAACTATGTAAGATTTGATGCTGTGAAAAGAAAAAATGCCGTCTTCTTGGATGTGGCGCCCGTAGATCTTATGTGAATCGGCGTTTCGGAGGAACGTATCGTCATCTGTTCACGCTGGTTCCTCGCTCGCGGATTTTTCTACCACGAAGATGGAGATGATACGTTCCCCGAAACGTCGGTTCACACAAGATATACACGGTTCCACATCCAAGATGACGGCATTCTTCAATTTAGAAACTTCTCACCATTCGACCCGTCACATTATGTAATAAGAAATAAATCCTTAGAAATATTTAACAGAAATCTTTAGTCGTGAATTGGGAAGATAATGAAGTCGATAAATGAAAGAAAGAGTAATTTTTAGTTAGGACAAAATAAGTTATGAGCCAGCTCTAACTCTAATTTGTGAACGGACATAATCTAAGCTTTGAAGCACGGTTTGAGCAACGGTTCATTACGCACGAGTGTAGTTCAAGGTTATCCCGAAAACGTGACCACTAAAATAGACCCTTTTATGGTAACATTGCACTCACTGGTCGGCAGGGACTCGTGCACTTCGCATCTGCACATTAAAGGTTGTACAACATGGCTGCAGACCTTGTCAGTCCTGGTGAAGAAGAGCGCTGTGTCATCAAATTCCTAGTAAAATTTTGTCACGTGTAGGGGGGGGGGGTATGCGTGACGAAAATAAAGGGTTCTAGATCGGATGATTGGATTTACTGGCATTTCGGCTACAATCTCTCTTTATTACGATCAATACAGCGCTATCGCTGATTCACAGAATTTACATTTCACCGTTACTCACTCACTGGAATGACCAGTCTCTTCTAGTCGTCTCCTGATAACGGAATTAAAACAGATTCACTGTGACTAAATCTTCTAATCACACATTAAGTGTTCACCGGCTGATTTCTAATTCTTCTTCAGCTACTAACTTCCCGTGGCTATGTCCTACCGACAACTGCCTGAACTCAAAGTCAAAGTTATATTACGAAAGACGGCCAGTCGGTCAGTCTCTATTGGAACAAAGCACCAATCTGGGGCATAAGAACAGATCTTTATTACAGTCGGACAGTCACAGGCTCTCTCTGACGAGAGGACGGGTCTGCCATTTGCCAGAGTCACAGTCAGCAGTAATAAGTCTATTGTCAATATGTACAATTTACATTTTACATGTTATTATATGTATGTGTATACAACATACACAAGGCATCGTCAGTCCAGGCTCAGCACAGCAGATCATATCCTATCATTAGTAGCGCCTGCTACAATGGCAGTCTTGTCATTTGAACGGTCGTATGCTTGACCGCCACCAAGTTTAAACCTCTTATATTTCCTGTGTCGCGATTCGCCTTGTCCAAAGTTGCAAACATTTTTATTTTCATGATTTTGTATGACTTCTGCTTGTTACCTGCATAATTTTTTATATAATCATATACGTATGGAAGTTTGAAAAGCGTATGCAAATTGCGAACTGATGGGCACCTTGGAAATTTTCCTATGGTGCGGAGAAATATGTTTTGTAGGAGCTGCAATTTTAGTAGAAGGTTGTCTGCCGCAAACTCCCAGGCGGGGCAAGCATATCATGATACACATAACGAGTGCTTTGTCGAGGGTCTATTTAATGTTAGCGCTTAATCGCTCAATTATGAATATAGAATATATTATAATAAATGTTTTGAAGGCCTTGGCTTCGATTGTTTCTATGTGCAACCTCCAAGTAACTTCCTTATCGAAGATTACAACGAGATATTTTACACTATTTCAGAGACAAAGCCAGAGTTACTTTACGACTGGCGGTTTATTGCTAATCAGTTCGTCTTGGCACCAGGTCCTTTGAGACCCACGAGAAGAATTTTTTCAACTGAACTCTTGCGGTAATAGTCCTTATGTAACATCCTCTCTGACGAGAAGATCGGTTTGTTTCTTATGAATACACTTGGTCTTTCGTCAAGTGTATATTTCGCGCATATATCATGTTTTTGAAAATTCTTCCTTTTGCACTATACACAAGTCCTCTGTCAGTACAGGTTTCACAGAGCACGGACCACTCACAGAAAACACAGCTTCCTCTATTTTTGTGTGATGCCTCTGTTGGTTTTATCATGAGATCGCTACTTAGCCAGTCCACTGGAGGGCTGGCTGCTGCCTACTAATAGAAAACACTCTTTCTATCATTGTGTCCTCGTATTTCGGGAGTGGCCTAGAGATGGACGTCCTTCTATTGTTGAGCGCACGTCGGTCGCGGGGTGTTTACCTAGCTGTTGCGTAACAATGCTTTAAGCAAATCCTTCAAAATATAATATGAAACTAGCATCAATTCTTCCTTGATTAAATGCACAGTGTGGGGAAGAGATCATGTCACGTTCAAGTGCCTACAATTAGTACAATAAATATTCTGGAAGCCCCAAAAATTCAGCGTACAACTGTCATCTGGTAAGATCATGGAAATTGTGC